GCAACTCTAATTAGGTAAGTATGCCACAATGACGTCCATTTCGCAGGTTCCATGAGGTGTCGGTTTTACCTCTGACATTAGTAACAAGATGGCTTCATGACTAGTACATTGTTTCGTTTAGTAAAGTGATAAAGAATGAATAGTATAAGTGATCGAATACTTATCAACTAAAATTTCCAGTCACTATGATAAAATAGAGTAATATGCATTATTAAAATAACCAGAATTATTAGCTGATACATATTTGATCACAAATAATAATTATTTTTTAGATCAGATTTTCCAATAACCATGAATTAATTCACTGACTATCACTTATATGAATATTAGAAAGAAAAATTGTTAGCATCAGACTTTTAAATTTATTATTTGTCTGATTTAATCACAATTTAGTTGCTAAAAAATTTCATGATATATGAATATAATTAGTGCCAAGAAAATTAAATAGCAAACATTATGTTTTTAAATTTATTATTTATTGTTTAATTTATTCTTAACTTTATTTATTTTAACTTAATTCTAAAAAATCCAAAGTGTTAATATTTAAATAAACAATCTTATGTTATACAAACTTCTGTTATTAGCTTTTTATATTACTAACTAGTTTTTGCAATTTGAATTTATATTTACTATTACAGCATATATGAATTAATTTAGTTTATAAAAATTATTTTTTAATTAATTAAATTAAAATTAGCAAGACAAATTCGCAAATAAGATTATTTACATAAAATTTATATTATTTGCTAGTAATTGTAAAAATTATTTATTAATCTGTAAAATTAATATTAGTATAAAATATTTATAAATCAAAATTTTTTTATAAAGTTGACAAAGTATTAAATTGATTTTTTAAATACATGATATACTAATATCAATTGTTTTTAAACAAAAAAATTAATTTATATTTAAGTATAAGCTTAAGTTAGATAAGGCTAACAAATACGTTTAAATAATATTACAATTTTCTTTTATTTATTAATATTAATTCTTTATTACCAAATAGCTCTTACAGGTTTCTTATTAAATACTTATACTAACTAATGTTTAGATAATCACTTAAAGATTTTCTTTAATCTATTATAGCTAAAACCTAATTTAAAATAGTTAGCTATAGCATTTATAGAAAATAAGAAATTTAATGTTATATTTAATATTATTTTGTAGCACAAATATAATTTAGAAATCTTTAAATTTAGAACTTATAGTTCTATATATAATAAAGTTTTTATTTGAAAATTATTTCAATAAAAAAAAATAATATCTTCACTAATAAAGTAAAATGTTAACTGTTTTATCAAATTTAACAAAATTAATTGTTTAATATTCATTTTTTAAATAAAATTAATTTTTGCTAAATTGATTATTACTTGAAAACTGATTTGTAAAATATAAAAAGAAATAGATTTATATAAAAAAAGAATTTAAAATAATTATATTTAGTAAAAAAGATTGTAGATTAACATTTTGAGAGTTGAATATAAGATATCAAAAGGTATAAAAATTAATTGGTTTTTTTTTTATTAAATTAAAATGAGGTCATGTCTCAAGTCTGTTTATTTATATATATTACTATAGTTGAATAATTTTTTATATTATATATTGTCTATTACTTTATGTTTATTAAGAAATAAGATTAAACTAATTTATTTGTACCTTAAACCTATTAGAACTTTGTATTATGTCTTACTTATATATAATCTAAATTTTGCTTTACATCTATTTATTTTGAATAGCTTGTATATTCTTTTTATATCTCATAAACTATTTAAACAACTTTTAAATTAGTCTATTAAGTTATTTACTTCTTATAAGTTATTATTTTTGATTTGTCAGAATAACACTTTATAATATATTTTTTAAGTCAAAGTCTTGCTATTTTTGCTAACTTTTCAATTTAGATACTAATAATAAGCTTTAAAATATTTTTTATTACAGTATTTCTTTTTTAAACTAATATGTATAATGAATAACTTTTATATTAGCTTTGAGAGGTTATCAATTTTGAAATATTAATAACTTAGTAATTATATAACTATAGATAAATATAATTATAGTTAATAGTAAAATTACTAAGCTATATGTATACTTGAACAATATTCTCTTACTAATACAGTATAAAATATATTTAACTTTTATACTGATGGTTCTGTAATTGACATCAGTACAGTTCAATATACAATAGGTATTGAATGAGTATAAGTTAATGATTTCAATCAAATAATTCACAAATTTTTAGCTAAAATCTATTGCTAGACATCTTCTTACAAAGCTAAACTAATGTTAATTCTTTTAGCAATTTCAATCACCTCTCACAACTTAATAATTAATATCTTCACTGATTTTCAGTCTATAATTACTAAATATTCTAAAATATATACTACTCTCTCAAATCCTAATAAGCTTTTCAAATTTAGCTCATGGTCTATATAGCACACTCTGCTTAATATTATTAAATCTTATAACAATTAGATTAATTTTCACAAAATACAAGCCCACTCTGATAATATTCTTAATAATTTAGCAGACTCACTAACAAAATAACATAATTCATTACTTATACTATACTTTAACTACACAAACATCTACAATCCATATCATATAATTTTTTGAGATCAGCATTTTATTGAATATCTAACTAGAAGTTTTACTAAAAATATCTATAAAGCCTATATTCTAGTAATATAGTTTTCTCAAAAATGTAATATAGAATAGGAAGCCTTGGTCTCTCAAATTGATTAGAAATCAACTTAGTTATTTTTTAACTATAATCAAAAACTAACTCATAATATTACTAACTTTAAACTTAATTATCTTAAATCATTTAAAATTAAAATTTTATTAAATAAACTTTCTAGCTACTTTTACTTTTATAAAACTTATCCATATACATTTTACAATACTAATTGCTTCAACTGTAATTTTGCTAACTTTCCAACTCATTGGTGTATATGCTCAAATCTATCACTTATTTTTAATATTATCTAAACTAGCATATCTGAATACATTAATTACACAGACCTCAATTTATCTATAAATCAACAAGAAGAACTTATTCACAAAATCAGTAACCACTATGTCTTTTACTTTATATCTCTTCAAACAAATCAATATTATACTGATATTATACTTAAAAGACTTATTTCCAAATATTTAATTAATATTATATAAAATTTAACATTTTATACAAACTAGTCTTACAAACAATTATTGTTATCTTGCTTAAAGTTAATGAACTTTCTTATGAACAAATATGGAAACCATATTGTATAAACTTTGCTAACTGAAAACAACAATAAGGACTTAAACCATTCTATGCTAGACCCTTATCTCAATCAAATTAAAAAAAAAACAAAAGAAACTCTAATTACAAAAATTATACTTATTCTTGTCTATATGAACTACCTGACCAATTACATTCCAATTCTAATACCTGTCCACCATTGGTTATGCTATCTGTAAAATCAATATTTGGACTATTCTTTGGATTAAATACAATATTTTCTATAACTATATTCTAAACTTACAAATCTAGATAAGTTTTAACCACTCTAGTAGGTTTAGGTTACAGATAAATATGTTTGAACTTTTATTTTTGAATGTAGTTTTTCTTTTATTTGTATTTAGAGTAACTATATAGTTAGCAGTTTAATGGTTTAGCCTAACTGTAAGTGTTGGTTTTAGTCATAACATTTATATAGAAAATTACTTTTTGTACATAACAACTTCATGTAGCTATTAACTTTTAAATTACCAATAAAGACATAAGCAAGGCCTCACCTTAATACTAAAAAAAAAAATCTATATAAGATAAAATTATAAACTCAAAACTAAATTTAATTTAAATTTAAAATAAAGTTAGCTTTAAATTTAGAAAAATTATAGTTTATTTTAAAATTTTATAAAAATATTTTTTATTTAAATTCAAAACCTATTTTATTATTAGAAATTTAAAATATTTATTATATCTAAATTTTATATATTATATTATAAACTACTAAATCTGATTATAATATAAGTATTTTTATAAATTTATTTTTATACTTTCTTTAATATTAATATTTATATATATTATTTTATATAAACTAAAAAGAATTTATAAAAATATTTCTTTACTTTTTAAAAAAATTTAAAAAAATTAAAAATTTTAAATTATTTATTATTTTAATAAATAAACTTTAAACACTTAACTAAAATGTACAAAATTATTTATATATATGTATTGTAAAATTAAAAATTGATAATCATTAATTTTAATTAAAGTATCTTTTATTTAATATTAGGTTTGTATATATTTTTATTAATTGTTAAATTTTATTTTTATATTAGTATAATATTTAATTTAAACATATTTTATACATAATTTTAAAAATATTTATTTTATTATATTTTATAATAAAAACTATTAATATTAAATATTATATTTAATATATATAATTGGATTATCAAATTTGATTAGAAAATCTATAATACAAAATTTTTATTAATTATGCTAAATTTAACTCTAATAGTAGATATAAGAAAAGATGTAAGAACTTAAAAAAATATAAAAACTTATTTTTTAGACATATATTAAAAAAATGAATTATTTAATAAGAATTTAATATAATTTTAAAATGAAATGAAATTTTGAATTTATAATGTGTAAAGTTATTTTTAGTAAACTAAATAACATACTATTGCTTTTAATATTGTTTTGCATAATGTTAGAGTAACAGGTTCTTGTGCTAAAAATGTATTTATATTAGATTCTTGATGTATAATCTAGAAAATTATCTACTATTAAACTGAGTTATACTAATAAGCATAACAATATTTTGAGACAAATTTATTCCATGTCAAAAGGTGACGGGTGTAAAAAGAAGTATAAAAGGCAAAAGCATAAGGAAAGTTCGTTTAAACCTTTAAAAGCTTTTAAAGTGATTAAAACATCTGATCAAAATTCAGACATGATTGTGGATTCGGAGGATCAATGTATACAAATTCAAATGAGAAAATTAATATGGAAGTTATTGAAATCGATGAAGAAATAATTCAATCAAATCTGCAAAATTTGGAGATCAAAGATAATGAAATTAATAAAATTCTCAAGCTGATATTTCAAATAAAGAAGCCACCAATAAAATCGAAATTGAAGCTACTGAAGCTATTGCAGAATTTGATGTGGGAGATTTAAAGAGATTGAAAGGGAAATTCGAAATATCTCTTAGTTAATTTTTATTACATATCATTTATTGTCTTTTATCTTTATTTTTGTAAATATTTTTATTTTTCTAATGTCTTACATTTGTTAAAAGTTAATCTTTTAAGAATACTTCACTCCTAAATACAATATATGTTTCAATAATAATAATCAAGAATTTCAATAAACGAATCCTGAACATTTGCACAAGTTTGATAGAATAGATCAAGAAAAAGCTTTTTACTGGTCAATCACAATGGTGTATCCAACATTATGTTTTTATAAAAAAAAAAAATGCTCAAAAATGATTAGAAAAAATCCCTTAAAAAATGCGGCGCGCATTAAAGCTGACCACAAGTTCAAAGAAAACTATAATACAGTAATAACCATTATGTGAATTTAAAATTTTGTTAATATGTAGTAAGTATTTTCACTATGACTCTGTAGAATTCTTACTTTTTAAAGAATTTTAATTACAGTGTAAAATATTTAAAATGCGGCACATCAGCAACTTAAGGGAAAATGACATTGCATATTTATATACTATAATGTAATAACGGAAAATGTTAGGCTTTTTACAAATTTTAAAAACTTCGTACTCAACTATAGGAAACCAACCCTCTTTACTACACAGTCGCTTGTCATATACAGAATTAGCTTTGTAATACCACTGTTTATGACCTGCCCAATCTCCCATTCCAAAATCATAAGCAAAAAATGGACCATGTTGTTTGTCACCGTAATAAATTGCTTTTGATGTATCGATTACACGACTAAGAATCGATTGATTTATGTTTCCATTTTTTAAAGAAAAAATAAAGCTATCATTAGTTTGATTTATTCCACCATTAACTTTCCAGATAAGAGGATTGTAACCACCAAGTATCTCATCAGTACCAGTGACCTTTAAAACAATCACAGTACCAGGTATATTATCACATAGCCTATGAAAAACTTCAGCCGTAAATCCATCCTTACTACCTCTAAGTAAAAGCTTAAATTCATATGGAATTTCAGTAGTATCATAAACTGTTGAACATCGCACAATCCATGATGAAATCTCTGCTGTATGCTGTAACGTTATTATGGAAGAAGATAATGTGGTGATATGTTCTTTTCGAGGAGGAAGTTGTGCAGTTTCTTTTTTGCGAGGAGGTAAAATTAGAGATGCGATGGGAGCATCTTGATCCATAAATTTTGTCACTATGCCATCCCATAAACCCTCTTCAAGAATATTACGATAAGGTTTAATTTTACTTGAGGTATCTTTACCAGGAATATGAAAGTATCTAATATGAGGAAGACAATGTTGAAGGGTAGTTTTTAAAGATTTAAAATTTTCATTAGACCATTCTTTAATGTTAGATGGTAAATTTGGAGTCTTCGCTTTTCCCCATAAAATCATTTTATCCCAAATTTCCGACTCTACCATCTGTAAATTATCATTCCTTAAAAGAGCAATTAAAGCATTCTCATGGATAGTAGTAAAATCATCAGAATCAAAAATCAAGCTTGGATGTTTTGTAAGTATATTATTGCAAAATTGTTGTAAAGGTTCAAAACTTTCATTAATAAAACTAAGTTGATAAACACGAGAAAAATTTAAACGAAGCCAAGATGCATTATTATAAATAAGGTGAGATTGGAGGCATTCTACTAATTTTATAAGCTTAAGTTCATCAGCAACAACTAATAAATCGAATATGGTAGAAATTTCAAGATTTTCTAAAGAAACTACATCTCCATAAATATATCTATAGATAAAAATAATAAATTAATGTTTTATAATAAATATATTTGATTAATTATAATATTGTACCATAACTTACTTAATAACGATTTTAAATGGATCAACAGAAACATTAGGCAATTTAATTTCAATAATAATATTTTTCCTAATCGCATTTACAAATTTTTGGCGAAAGTATAATGATCTTTAATATAAGATTGCTGAATGTGCTTTAAAAAGTTGAATATTTGGTTGTTCTCCGACTTCAATTACTACATTATAATCATATTCACTTTCTAAGTGTTGTGTAAAGTCTTGAGAAAGTTGTTCAAATAATTTTAAGATCATTTTTTATGATTTGGGATACTGATGCAGATTTTCATTTATACCAAAGTCTGCGTCGCACAAGCGACTACGTACGTCTGAAAGGTATCATGTGATAACTAACAGTGCTGTTATTATTCATTGTATATTGAAGTTAATATAAATAGTAGTTATAATAGCCAATAGCCATGATGTTAACATATAAATAGGCCAAAATCCATTAGTTAGATAGTAAGCTTCCTGCAACTAGATAATTAAAAAAGACACGCATAAATCTAAATAATAAACTTGTTTATACGAATATTTGTGTCTTCATATATACTTAACTGTTTGCCTTATTCGAGACTATAATAAACCATATATTTTGCTTAAGCATAAACATAGCATTGTTATTAATAATCTGACATATCTGTCGCTAAAGTAAATTAGTTATACCGAGTTTATAAAAGATAGTTCAAGTGTAACAATTACGTACGTTCATTATAAAAGTGTAAAGTTGTTTGGGTCGTCTTTGAATCGTTTATCATCATTTTTTATCGTCCTTATTATCTTATTTTTTTATAACATGATCTATTCAAAATTCAGAATTGCGGTAAACGAATTCTGAAAATTATGGCACGTTTGTCAAATTTAAGGACCCAAATTTATTATTGATTTCTAAGATTAAACACCAATTTATTCCTGCAACCCAGTTTAAATTTCAGTACAATTCAAACCAATTTTAAGCTTTCGTTACATAAATGTACAAACAAATTTATTGACCGTCAGCAACATTGTCAATTACATAGTATAGTAACGTTGTATACTAAGCGTAACCACTCAAATCAGTTACGTGGAGTTTAAATACATATAATTTATCATGACCAGAATTAGTTAGAGTTATAAAATTTGATTCTTTGGTGCAATTTTGATAGGATTGATCAAGGAAAATGTTTTACTGGCAATCATAATGGTATATCCGGCGTTGTTAAAGTGAGTTTTTATAAAAGAAATATTCAAAAATGATTAGAAAGATCACCTAAAGAAGTATATATAGTTAATTGTATCTTTTAAGTCAAATTATTCTTTTGTAACAATCAATACTAGATAAGTAACTGCGTAAAGAGGTATGAAAAAGAATGATGGCGGATTAAAATATCAATTTATGGAATAAATTTATGACAAGAAGTATATCCTTAAAAACATTAAAAGGGGATTTGATTCTAACTAGGAAAACGGGATTCTGAATGCCGCTTCGTATTATGCAAAAAAAACTTTTAAAGTCACATTGGATCTGTTAATTTGAAGAATGCAAATACATAGCTTTTACACACTTATCTAAATGTCCAATGAAATCATAAAAATTTTAACTTTTGTAAAATCAGTTGTAGAGGTGACTTAGTGCCGTGGGTTAATGTGATGTAATATTAATATGATGTAATTGGTTGAGTCAATTAACATCTCTACTTGAGCTTCTAATATATTATATTCTCTTGATCTAAATTCCAACTACATAGTGTATTGTTGCGATACTGGTTAATTCTTTTTTTTTTATCATTACCAAAGCAACAAAATACATAATACTAAATGCCGTTGAATTATTTGAATTGCTGATGAAATTTTATTTTTTTAAATTTATAGAAATATAAAGTTGATTATGTAATAAATTATAGAAATGGGGATGTTCATAGCAAAACAAGGCTTAGGGACTATATAATATATAGTCCCGAAGCCTTGTTTTGCTGTGGGCATCCCCAAATATAAAGTTGATTATGTAATATATATCAATTTGAAAAAAATAATGCTATATCTGCTAAATATGTTAAATATGTTATATACTGCTGAAAGTTAACTGATGATATGCTGATTATAAATTTGCATCTAATTTTGAACTCCGAGCTGGAGTCCACCATCCTCATGGAATTTTTCTTACCTATTGTCCGGACTTAAGTTCCTCCACTCTGCTCCGGAAATTATATACACAACTATATTTCCAATTAACACTTAGCACACCTTAAAACAATAGTCAGGATTAAACGGCATCCAACACTGTCGATTACTAGTTAAAACCAAAATAATACAGTAATTTCCATTATGTAAATTGTTAATGAATTCCTTCTCTATATTAAAATTAAGTTCAACCCTTTCTTTTAAAGAGTTTTAACTGCAATATTAAATATTTAAAAAACAGTACATTAGTAACTTAATAAAAAATGTCCGTTGTATATTTTGTAAACTAAATATATATTCCATCTTATTCCATCTTACACACTATGAAATGCTAAGTTTTTTTTTTTACAAATTTGAAAGACTTCGTACTCATCTATATAAAACGATCCTGATTTACTTCTAATTTTATCATATGCAACACTCCCACCGCAATACCATTGTTGAGCTTGATAATCATATATTCCGAATTCACGAGCACCAAACCATGGACGACTTTTGTCATCATTATAAATTGCTCTTGATGTATCGTTTACACGTCTAAGAATCGATTGATTTATGTTTCCATTTTTTAAAGAGAAAATAAAACTGTCAGCAGTTTTATCGGATCCACCACCATCTTTCCAGATAAGAGGATTGTAACCACCAAGTATCTCATCTGTACCAGTGACTTTTAAAACAATCACAGTACCAGGTATATTGTGACATAGCCTGCAAAATGATTCACACGTAAATACATCCCTACTACCTCTAAGTAAAAGTTTAAATTCATATGGAATTTTAATAATACTATGAACTGTAGAACATCGATCAATCCATGATGAAATCTCTGCTGCATGTTGTAATGTAATTATATCAGAAGAAGATAGTGTAGCAATAGCTACTTTTCGAGAACGACTTTCTAAAGAAGGATAAGGAACAAATATTGGATTTTTCGGAACATCTACAGGATCTTTTTCTGTTTCTTTTTTGCGAAAAGGGAGCTGTATAGTTTCCTTTTTGTGAGAAGGGAGTTGTATAGTTTCTTTTTTGTCAGAAGGAAGTTGTACAGCTTCTTTTTTGTGAGAAGGAAGTTGTACAGCTTCTTTTTTGTGAGAAGGAAGTTGTACAGTTTCTTTTTTGTGAGAAGGGAGTTGTATAATTTCTTTTTTGCGAGGAGGTAAAATTAGAGAAGTGATGGGTGTATCTGAATCCACAAACTTTGCCATTATGTCATCCCACAAGTCCTCTTCAAGTATATGACGATAAGGTTTAAATTTATTCAATACATCTTTACCAAGAATATGAAAGTATCTAATATGAGAAAGACAATGTTGAAGAGTAGCTTTTAATGATTTAAAATTTTCATTAGTCCATCCTTTAATGTTAGATGGTAAATTTGGAGTATTCGCTTTTCCCCATAGAATTATTTTATCCCAAATTTCTGACTCTTCCATCTGTAAATTATCGTTCCTTAAAAGAGAAATTAAAGCATTCTCTTGGAGAGTAATGAAATCATCAGAATCAAAAACCATACATGGATTTTTTACAAGTATGTCATTACAAAATTGTTGTAAAGGTTCAAAACTTTCGTTAATAAAGCTAATTTGATAAACACGAAAAACATTTAAACGAAGCCAAGATGCATTATTATCAATAAGGTGAGACTGAAGGCATTCAACTAATTTTATAAGCTTAAGTTCATTGGAAATGACCATTAAATCAAATATGTCCGAAGCTTCAAAATTTTCCAAAGAAATTGCACCTCCATAAATATATCTATCGGTAAAAAAAAATAATGATTAATGCTTTATAATAAATATATATTTGATAATTATGGTATTATGATATAACTTACTTAATAATAGTATTGAATAATTTAACAGAAACATGAGGTAATTTAATTTCAATAATATTATCTTCTTTAATCGCATTTACAAAATTTTGACGAAAGTATAATGAACGTTGATATAAGATTATTGAATGTGCTTTAAAAAATTGAACGTTTGGTTGTTGCCCAACTTCAATTATTACATTATAATCATATTCGCTTTCTAAGAGTTGTGTAAAGTCATGAGAAAGCTGTTCAAACAATTTTAAAATCATCTTTTATGATTCGGAATACTGGTGCAGATCTATATTTATGCTAAACCAAGTTTGCGTCGTACAAACGATTATCTAATGTTAACGGCAAAACTTGCACCCCCAGGTCTACAAAGAATAAACGAAAAGTGAAGCCCCGAATCTACGCTGCATGAGATTGTTTCCGCAATTACTAAGCCCCCAGAACAATTACCGTTGACAGACCAAAAATGGTAAAGCGATCTGATTGACAAAGATGAAGGCTAAAATGAGTCAATGGGTTAATATTGCCAAGTCGGGGTCCGCATGATTTTTCGCAGCTGTGGAACGACGTTGGAAGCGTTTTAACG